AAAAAAAAAAAAAAAGAAGCAAGTCATGAGGTTCAGCCCAAGGGTCTAAATACCTAGAGTAAGGGATCATTGGGAGCCACTTTAGAGGCTGCCTAATACAGGGGCCCTGTGGCTATTAGCAAATAGGCATATTGAAAATAGACTAACAAAAGCATGAAACATTGATTCAATTTGATCAGAGGGAACTAAGCATTAACTGATGAGTTGTATTTGTTGTTTTTTATTATTTTTTCTTTGATTGTGAGATAATGTCTTGCTTTGTTGCCCAGGCTTAGAGTACAGTGGTATGATCATTGCTCACTGCAGCCTCGAATTCCTGGGCTCAATCAGCCATCCAGCCTCAGCCTCTCAAGTTGCTGGGGCTACAGGTGTGCCTCACCATAACCTAGCTATTTTTTTTTTTTAAGAGAGAGGTGGGGTCTTGCTATGTTGCCCAAGCTGGTCTCAAACTCCTTGCCTTCAACAGTCCTCCCACCTCAGCCTCCCAAAGTTCAAGAATTACAGGCATGAGACACTGTGCCCGGCCTTATTATTTTTTTAAATAGAAGATGAGTTACCTTAGGTTCTTGGAAGTTACTTACTCTAATGATACCTTAATGTGGGTTATTAAACTGTGTTTTATCTATGTTTACTTTTGAAGATGACCAAAAAACAGGAAATTTTTTTAACATTTAATTTACTTTTATACAGCAATTGCATGATTAAGAAGCAAGATAAAGCAAAAAAAAGATACACAAGAGCTAACTCATTTGTAAGTCCTGTTTATTTGGGAGGAAGGGAGAAAGATAAAATCTCTCCAAGGGTACTATTTATGATTATGAGTTTGGGAAAGGCTGCAGTGTTACTGAAGTCAGAGAAGAGTTGCGATGCAGTGGCAATGCCAGTGCCAAGTGCCACTGAGAGTCAAGGGGCACAAGACCAGAGGCAAGGCTTGAAGGCTTGTTGTGTAAACAGGTTTGGTTAGGGGAAGAAACTGCAAAGCCCCTTCAGGTTGGAAGCAGTCATTAACATGGGATAATTAATATGTGAATCATATGTTCTTCTTATAGCTGGCAATTACAAGCCAATACTTTGTTAACCTTAATTGCTATAGAATCTGTCTAAAATTAATAAGGCCCATGTCTTTTTAAATATCTATCATTTGTAATGTAAATGACTTAAAGTGCTCTTTTTCCTAAATTGTGAGATTTTAATTGCATTCTCAAATAATAAAATGACAGTTCATTCCATTTAAATTCAGATATCCTTGCCCAAGAAATACTCAAAATATTATAAGATTCAGAAAGGTGTCATTAGATAAGAGTGCATCTTGTTAAACATTCACAGAACACCTACTGTGTGTCAGGCCACACTAGTTGCAGGGGTACTGAGCTTTAGAAAGCATAGTTCCTGGCTTCCAGAAGTCTAATAGGGAAGAGAGGCCGTGTACAGTGACTCATACCTATAATCCTAGCACTCTGGAAGGCTCAGCCGGGAGGATCTTGTGAGACCAAGTGTGTAAGACCAACCTGAGCAAGAGGAAGACCTTGTCTCTGCAAAAGACAGAAAAATGAGCCAGCTGTAGCAACACAAACCTGTAGTCCCAGCTACTTGAGAGGCTGAAGTAGGAGGATTTTTTGAGCCCAGTAGTTTGAGGTTGAAGCGAGTTATGATGAAGCCAGAGTGACACAGTGAGACTCTGTCTCCATAAAAAACAAAAGCAGTAAAGAGGAGATAGGGCCTGTGGTTAGGAAAGGCTTCCCAGCAGAGGTAACCTTTATCAAGGTTAGAGTGTGGAAATGTGGAATAGGAGTCCTCCAGACAACAGGGGTGGGAACAGGAGACAGTGGGGTGTGTTGGAACTGCCACTGGGGAAGAAAGTGTGGCGGGTAAGGATCAAACTGTTGAGAGCTTTGCTTGCCAAATGCAAGAGCAGCATGTGGTTCTTGTGGCTGGCTAATCTCTCTCTGGATACTTTTGTTCCTTAGACCATAATGAAATGTCTTGAGGCTGAAGAAGGACATTCAGCATTCCAGAAAATCCTGGATAAAGTCAGAGATGAGAGCCTGGATGTCCAAACGGTGGTGTCCCTCTTGAGGCTGTACCAAGATTCTAATCCTGCAGTAAAAACAGCACTGTTAAACAGAAAACCAGAAGGTGTAGAAACAGTGCAGCCAAAAGGTAGGAGAAAATCCTGCCCACTGGAATGACTGAGTTTTATTCTGGGAAGATGCTATAAAGTTTGTTCCAGTGGTACACTTTTTTAGTGGCTTCACTATTAAGTGGTTTTTACATAAGTTCTACATGCAATTCCAGAAGCTGCATGTTAAATATATACAGACTAAATTTGAGTCTCTATTTCTATCCTTATGGTTAACTAGTCTGGTGCCTCGAAGTTGGAGAATACCATCAATGTTCTCCTGTCCTTCAGAAAGCCACACATCCAGTTCAATGACTTGGATGCCCAGGGTGAACCAGTTTGCTGACAGCACTTAAAGACTGAAGTTTCTCTCATTTGGGTTAGGTACAAAGCACTGGCCTTGCCAACCAGAAGTTAACCTCTGGCTGGCTCTGCAGCTTTGTGTTTCGACAGATAAATGAAACATTTTTCCTTTCATAGAGTTTAAACAGAATAATAAAGTATTTTCCTCTGTAAAAGAGATTCTACATTCAGGTGCTCAGAATAAGCTGAAAATCACTTTACTATTCTGTTAGATCTCTCTTGACAAACCATGCTGTCATTTTCTTCAAATTGACTAGCTTCTCTTGTGTGTCTCTAACTCTTTCTCCCCCAGGGAGCACAGAGGAGGGAAAGACCTTGTCTGTTCTGTTACTAGAACACAAAGAGGACCTGATACGGTGTGTAACACAGCTGAGACCTATTGTGGAGTTCCTGGAAACAGCCAAGGAGGAATTCCTGACTGGTGCTGAAAAGAGGGTAACTGTGTCGAGTATTTTCTCCCCCCTTCTGAATTCATATAGCACTTGCAAAAAAAGAAAAATCTCTGGTGGCACATCACAATCCTCTGCAGTATTTTTATACATCCTGCATAGTAAGCACCTGGACGTTCAGTTTCTTGTTTCATGCTCCATTGTATCCCTTGCAGCAGCTTACTGAGGGCCTTACATGTTGAGCCGTCCGGTCGGTGGGTGGGTGGGTAGATGGATGGATAGGTGGATATTTACTGTTCTTGCTCTGATCCAATCAGTCTTCACTAAAAATAGCTACACCAGGAGCTGAAATACTAAGGAAAATTTGTAATTATGATACTTTTTCTCATTATCCTGTTACTATATGTAGAAAATTGAGAAAATGAGCAAAACCAAAAAGAATTCAATTCTCACCACTTAGAGATGAGCACTGCTAACATTTTGGATCACATGCTCCTATCCTTTGTCATTTGAGTCATCCTGCAGCCTGGCATGGCTTCTCAGGACAACTAGATAACTGTATTTGTTGGTGTTATTGATTTCAACTATGAGCTTATATGAAACATACAGGTTTGTTGTTGTTTGTTTTTGAGACAGAGTCTCAAGCTGTTGCCCTGGGTAGAGTGCTGTGGTGTCACAGCTCACAGCAACCTCAAACTCTTGGGCTTAAGTAATTCTCCTGCCTCAGCCTCCCAAGTAGCTGGTAGTATGGGTGCCTGCCATAGCACCTGGCTATTTTTTGGTTGTAGTTGTCATTGTTGTTTGGC